GGACAAAAAGAGCTGGTGCAAGGGCCCTGAGGTGGAACTAGGCTTGGAGCATTATGAACCACCAAGGCCAGAGTGGCCAAGCTGAGTAGCCTGGGAGGAAGTCCCAGAGGCGAGCAGGAGCCAGATTACACAGGGACAAGGGTTTTCATTCTAGATTTCATTCTCTGCTTAAGAAAGAATTGCTGGAGGATTTTAAGCAGGCAGTGATATAATTAATCTCTGAGGGTAGATACCTAACCCACAGCTAGTAAACAGCAGGTGCCTAATATGGACTTGTTGATTTGAATTAAACAGGAAACACTTCTCTGTCCACTGATTGAAATGCAACTCCTCTGAAGCCCGAGAGTGGAGGGAAGGGGCCCAGGGAGAAGGGTCAGAGGTCAGTGGCCCCAACCACTAAAGGTACTGACCTGGGGAGATCCGGGTTCTCGACTAGCTAGGCTCTGTCCTCCAACAGAGACATAAAAAATGAAATGACACAGCAAAGGGGGGCAAGGAGGATGGGGGAGAGGAGACCATAAAACCCCCGAAGTGATTCTACACCTTTTTCCCTTGCAAAAAAAAAAAAAAGCTTTTTGGAAAGGCTGTAAATTTTTTTTACACCAACCTCGTAAAAATGACATCGGCGCATTCTCAAATTAGAACCATTAAAATGAAAACCAGCAACGCACTGATACAGGCAGGCCCACGTGGGTGGGAGACTCAGAGCCTGGGTGCACAGCTGGGTTTCAGGCCCCCTTCCCCTCCAGGTCCCCAGCACCTCCTGGGGAGGGCCTCACCCTACTGAAAGAAAAGGTAAGAGTCCAGAAGATGTGAGACCAGAGAGGAAGAGTAGAGTCTGGGGGCATGAGTCCCAAGGAGAAATGAGCCCCTGACCTGAGGACCAAAGACCACTGTTGACAGTGTGTGTGAGATGGGGGTGTGTGTGCTAATTCACCCCAGAAGCCTCCCCACCCCGTTCCCCTAAGGAGTTTGGGCAGAGGAGGGCCAGACGCAGGAGGAAAACAAAAATGTCTTCCATTCTTCCTTTCCTCCATGCCCTGACTCCCCCCCATCTCTTAGAGGGGGTGAGTTAAAAGCCCATTAATGTGCAGAGCCCCCCAACCCCTTTGAATGTCCTCACAGGATGTGAACAGGGTGGGATTTGGCCCCGGTTGTCACAGCAACTGCAGTGGGAGTGCCCAGACGCTAGGCAACCCTCCTGTGACCCTCCCTGACCTGTCACCCCCGAAACCTGAGGACAATGGAAGTGCAGGCTCTGGAGGCCCAGGACGCCTTTCAGTGTGGTCGCCAGCAGCCCTGGTAGCCCCCACCCCGCCTGGCCCAGCCCTCCGGCCCCAAGACTGGCTCTCCTGGGCCAGAGCGGCCAGGCCCTGTCCCCCAGGCTGCTCTAGGCCCGTCACCTCCCACACTCGTCCTGGCCCTCACTGCTCCCCATCAGAGCCCAAAGGGTTTCTGCGCAGTCCCTAGGGACCCCCGCCTCGGGGGGACATTTCATCCAGGTGAAACCAGATTAGGATAAAATGCAAGGCCAACCTTCAAAGGAAAAACCCATCAGAGGGAAAACGGGAGGAAGGAGCAATGAGGAAGGAGACTTTGCTCGGTGAAGGAAGGGGATGGGTGGGTAGCCAGCATGTCTGCTGGTTCAGGGTATTCTTTCACAGTAGCTGGGGATCATCGACCCCAGCTGGCATGCAGGGAGCCCAGTGTAAATAAGGTTCAATGCATGTTTGCTGAATGAATGCACGCTCCAAGGCCTACTGCACCGCGAGCCTTCTTTTCCCGTAAGGGGGTGAGACTGGAGACCCGGTGAAAGCCCGAAGGACAGCGCGGAGGCAGTGGGGCTCTGCCACTCAGCAATCAGGGGCTTGAGAGGAGGGAGCCAGAAGCTCAGAGAGGGGGCAGGCAGCTGGGGACCCTCTCTCTACTCAGAGGGGGCCTGGCCACCAAACCATGTCTCCCCCCACCCCCACCCCTAGCCTCTGTTTGAACAAGCTCCCGGCCTGCTGTTGCATGGAAACGGGCGCCTGCTCTTGTTCCAAAGTGATGCAGCCTCCCTCTTTGGCACTGTTTGTTTCAGCCTCAAGTCCTGTCACTGGTCTGACTTCTGACTCGCCCTGTTTATCTCCCTCCCCTCTGTCAACTCATTACTCCCAAAGGCCAAGCCTGCATTTCCAGGGCTTGTTTACCCAGAGTAGAGGGATAGAGACCAGCAGACGGACGGACGGAAAGAGGGAAAGAGGGAGAGGGGCTTGGAGGCCCAAGGAGGCCCGGGGAGGAGGAGCGGGAGCAGTGCACAGCCTGCACACCTGCCCCCAACCCCCCTCCTCTAGACTGGCACGTAGGGCCTGCGGAGAGTACTGCTTTCCACTGCTTTTGTTTGTCTAAGGGCTTTTAAGGCTGGGAATGGAGTGGCTCTCCCGCACTCACCAGTGAACGTTTATTTAGCACCTATACTATGTTCCAGGCCTCACTCCCTCCATTTCCCACAGGGAACTGTGTGACAAGGGTAGCGGCCAAAACAAGGCTGTGCTGAGCTCCAGTCCAGGAACCGGGAGACCTGAGGTCACCAAGCCGTCAGTGACCCCTCATCTGCAGAATGGGAATAATAACACCCACTTCCCAGGGCTGGCCAGGTGATTAAGTCACCCGTGTATGAGAGAGACCCAAAGCACCAAACCGAGGCAAGGTTGTTTGTTTGTTTGTCCTTGAAGGACTTCCTGATTGGGGCTGAGGGGAGGAAGGAGGAACCCACTGGGCCAGGCTTTTTTTTCTACAGTTAATCTACCCCACAAATAGTAAGGAACATTTGTCGTTGAGGGTACCAGAAAATGTTACCCCTGAAGTTTTCCCCCAAAGCCTGGCTCATAGACTGGGGCTGGAAGGACAGGCCAGAAACTTTCCTGTTAATTGAAAAACTTATCATTTTAATTTTGTGGGGTTCTTTCATAGTTCAGAGCCAACAGGACCTTTTTTAAATCTCAAATATTTTCCTTGGCTCTAGGCACCAGGCCTAGAGTGAGCCCAAATGGATAAAACAGCCCTCCGCCTGCCTCCAAGTCTCCACCCCAGTTTATTTGTGAAACAGATATAGGATTTTCCAGGCCTTTGGGATATTCCCCAAAACAAACAGGAATAACTAGAATGTGGAATATAGATGGCAAAACATGGCTTGTGTGCAATGCAGAGCAAAGAAACCCGATCAGTACAGAAAGTTCTGTCTCTCTCCACCCCACACATCTCCCAGTTATACAGATATCTATGTTCACTCTGCAGTTGAAGTAATTGTTTAAAAGACACTTTCCAGTGTCAGTAGTTCTCCCCACCCCGTCTCATCCCCCACCACATTCAAAATCTTTCCTAGCCCTGTGTGCACAGAGGTAGGGGAAGGGAAGAGGTGGTTATAAAAAATGGGTGGCCTTGGAGACTTCTGGTGGGGTGTGTCTTGTTATTATTTTCATAAAGGGTAGAATTTGGACCTTTGAGCTTCTGTCCCCAGGAGATGTCACAAACTCTGTGGGTCTCTTCCCCAGAAATCCTGCTTATTGGGAAGGCTTGGGAGATGCCAGCAAACTCCCAAGGGCTATCTCCCCAGGGAAAGGTGACAGGTCTCCACAGTCCGTAAGAGGAAGTGATTTCTAAAGTCCTCACTTCTGTCAGCATCCACATGGGCCATTCGGTGTGTGAAGAGACTTCATGCTCAAATTGCACCTGATCCTAAAAACTCGATACTTTAGGCATCGAGGAGGCCAAGGCTCAGGGAGGCCCCAGGACTTGGCCAAGGTTGCCCTGCTGGTTAAGGGGCTGGCTGAGACTTAACCCGGGTTGGTTCAGTTTCTGTGTTAGTGGTGGCTGACCAACTCCGGGCAGGGTGCTGGGCTTCGGATGGTGCTGCTCCGAGTCTGACCTCCCGCTCTGCAGAGTGTGGTGGGAAAGGGCCCTATGAGGGGCTATGGATCAGGGGAGGAGCCCCAGGGTGAGCCTGGGAGAGAACATGAGGGCAAGATGGGTGTACACATCTGTGCACACTTGAGGCAGGGGTGGGGGTGTGCGTGGGATGCGCGTAGGACCTGACTATTACACATTCTCAGTGGAGCCCCCAAGGGGTAGTGCCACCAGCAAGCTTGGGGAGCAGTCAAACAAAAGGAGGAGAATCCCAAGGCCAGGGCTGGCTGGGCCGGTTCTCCTGAACTTGTCAAGCATGATTCTCCCTTTTTCCAGGGGTGGGGCCGTGGGGCCAGAACCTGGGGCCCCTGCTCTGTCATCACCTGACCAGGCTCCCCACCCCAGGGCCTCTCAAACTTCAGCGGCTGGTCTTGAACTCCTGAACTCTGCAGCTTAGGGTGGAATGATGGAGGGGAGAAAAGAGAAGGAGGAGGCAGATAGGGATTCCCAGTCTGACCCCCAAAAATGGAGGCCTGTCATCACCTCCTGCTCTTGGCCTTTTCCTAGCTGCTTTGGACTCTGGTGCCTAGAAGTTTCATTTCTTCACGGCTTGGATTTAGGGGCCCAGGCAGAGATGGCGGTGGGGAATACTTTACAATACAAATAAAGTGAAGATACCCCTGTGTACACAGCCCCTTCCTCCAAGGAACATGCACCCTCGAGAGTGGTCTCCCTGTCGCAACCCTGTTAACCTAGCCAGTGTGCAGGAGGAGAGCCCAGGCCATCACCCACCCCAGAGACACACTCTCAAGCCTGCTGCCCGGGGCGTCTCTTTTTGTGGGCATTTCTCAGACTGTTCCAAGCTCCCCGACTTGTGGGCGTCCTGGGTCCCACTTCTCTCTCCTGGGAGCACGGCTCCCCGCCCCCCTTAGGTGGCCACTGGAATGGGAGGGCACAGAGGGGGTCCCTGGAGGCTGGACCTTTTCAAGAGGGTTAAAAGTGAAGCTGCTTGGCAGGAAGCCTGCGACCCGCGCTGCCAGGAAGAGAGTGGGACGAGGCCCGGCGCGCCCCTCTCCTCCTCCCGGATGCTGGGGAGGCACCCCGCCTGTTCCTACCTGTTGCTGCTGGAAGTGCAGCAGCTCCGCCGGGCTCATCTCGCCGTTGCTGTCTGCTCCGGCCGCCGAGTCCCTGCCCGTGCCGCCAGAGCCCACTGTCCCGGCCCCGCCGCCGCTGCCATCCGCCTGCCCAGAGATGCTGCCCACGCCGTTCTGACCAGAGGGAGCCGACCTGATTGTCTCCGAGGCGGATTCCACCATCATGTCGCTCTAGCAGGACCTGGAGTGGGGGAGAGACATGGGGGAGGGGCTGAGGCTCAAGTCTGGACGCAGTCTCCCCGGGTCAGCCACTGAAGCCCCCCCACCAACAAAAAGCCCCTCAACCCCCAAACAACACATCACCACTGCTTAATACCCCCATGCCCCCCCAATCCCGTCTTAGGGTATCTCTTCCTCCTCAACTTCCTGGAGGCGGCTCCTGGGACCCCTCTTGGGGTGCGGGCCCCCTCCCAATGTCATCCTCTCCCTAGGCTGGGGGGAAGGGGCAGGTCCTCCCCCACATTTCCTGGACTTCCAGGGGACCTTGGCAGGGAAGGGGAGGAGGTGATGTCTTCACCCCTGCCCCTGGGTAGGGTGGGGCGGGAAAACCCGTGTTGGCCTCTCCCTCCAGTCTAGGGCGCTGGGGAAGCTAGGGTCCCGCTAGGCTATCAACCTGCTAGGATATTGAAGCACGGAGGAGCTATTCACTGGGACCAACCATATTGCTGAGCCTCACCCCCACCAGTAATGACCTCTGTGTGTGTTCCCCATAGATAGAGACTTCCCCCAGGGCAGGGCCTCCTTATACGGTCTCCTTCCCTGGGACCCAGAAAGGCTCTAATCCACATTCATTCCCCAAATGCGGCTGCCCTTTGCCCAGCACCTACTGGGAGCCCCTCGGCTGGGCCTGGAGCTGCTGGTGAAGGCAGCCAATGGTCCCACTTCTCCGCCCTGCCATTCTAAAGCCCTCAGCCCAGTACCTGGCCAAAAGCAGACACTCCATAATATTTACTGTTTCTATAAGCACCATGATGCCTTCTCACAAGGATGGTGCGAGGTAGTCATTATCATCCTGATTTTACAGATGGAAAAACTGAGGGTCCAGAGAGTTCAAGGCAAAGAGTCAAGGCCTGAATCCTGTGCCCTCGCTTCCTCCCCCAGGTGCTTCTCCAGTGGTGGAAGCATTCCCAGAAAGAGAGGGTATGTTTGGACGGTCAAAGGTAGCCAGGAGAAGGCCTAAGCTTCCTTCTTCCACTCAAGGAGGTTCCAACATCTACTATGCGGGGGTGCGGGTGTGGGGTGTGTACACAGGGCTGCTCTCCAAGTCCGGAGTGTCCGCAGGCCCTGGCTATCCCCAAAGCCAGAGCCCCTTGAGAGGAACACACATGCACTGCAGTCAAAAGGGACCTGGTTGGTACCCACCACTGATCTTTGACACGCGTCTCAAACTCCCTAAACCTCAGGGCGCCTGGCTGGTTCAGTCAGAAGATCATGTGACTTTTGATCTCAGGGTAGTGAGTATGAGCCTCATGTTGGGTACAGAGATTACTTAAATAAATTAACTTAAAAAAAAAAAAACAAAACACCTTCCCTAAACTTTAGTTTCCTTGCCTGTGGAAGCAATTAATCTCAGCCTCTTGGAGTCCTGTGAGGAGTAAATAAAACAGCACATGTAAAACCACCTTGCATCATGTGAGCTCCAATCCACCCCTTCTCCACCTGCCCTATTTGTAAGGGCGAAGACTCTGAGGCTCCGAGAGGCCCAAGACTTGGCCCAGATCGCACAGAGATCGAGGGGCCCACGGAAGCCAGCCAGTGTTCGTTTGTTCTTCCCTTCTTGGTCCCCTTTGGGCCTAGGCAGACCCAGGATCGCAGGGTCTCCTGGTAGGCAGCTGAGGAGCGGACCAGAGAGCGGCTGGGAGAGGCTGGATTATTTCCCTAGCTCTTTCCCCAAGGTGGCCGCTCCCAAGAGCATCTCCCTCCCGCCCGGAAATTCTCTCCCTTCACTCTGGAAGAACTCTTTTCCCTCCCTTGGCTGTGCCACTTGCTGTTTTTGTCCCTGCTGGAAGCAGTGTTGGGAGGAATGTGAGGGCCTGGGGGCTTGTGAAGGGGACAGAGAGGTGTCAAGGGTCCATGGGCAGCCCACCGGTCACCTGTGCTCCTGCTCCCCTCTCCATCTGTGACCCCAGGTGTCTTTGTCCTAATGGCTTGATCTGTGTGGCCCCCTGGGCAACCCTATGCTGCTAACGTGTCCCGTGTTTGTGCGTTTCTGTGTGTTTCCAAGGGCTTGTCCCCCAGCTGCCGCTCCCACTCCTGAGTTCTGAGAGGAGGTGGGCCAGGGCGAGGGTGAGGTTGGGGGCGATGGTTCGGAAGAGATTGAGCACTTGGGCCCAGACCTTAATGGCCGTGTCAGCCCGAGAGCCAGTGGCTGCCAAATGATGGATGGGATGGGCGCCATCCTCCACCCGTCAGAGCACAGGGCCCCAACCCCCTCCTCTGAGCCACCCACCCTGATCCCTGCCAGCAGCCTACAGAGCACCTTCCCCCACTCAGGCCAGGGCCCCAGCTACACATACGGGGGATGGGGAGACAGCAGGGGCCCACTCTGCTCCCTCTTCCCCAACCCTGGCCCTGCTGGGGGTGGAGAGCAGCTGCCTGCCTTGATTCCAAGTCTAGCTTCTCTGAGATCTGAGAACTCCTGGGCCCCAGGGGGACAAAGACCAGAGCCTCAGGGGTATGTGTGTGTGCACAGGAGAAAGGAAAGAGAACCCAGCAGTTACTTCCCTGGGGTAAGGGAGAGTGCCCCCCTTCCAACACTCACACACACACCATAAAGTTGTAGATCAGACAGCAAGTTTGGAAAAAGGGAGAAGAAAGGAAGGAGGCTGCAGAAGTGTCCCTTTCTTTTCTTTTTATGGGGGGGTACAGAGCGACACCCAGTGAACATAATTGCTGCAATGTGGCGTGTAATAATAGCTATTCAAAGGCCGATCATTCATATTAAACAGGGTGAAGCAAGCCTCTCATTTGCATGCTTGAGATTATATGCATTTGAAAAGTCATTTCCGCAGGGTGTATGAATGGCATTAATTCCCGTGTGGCATGCTCTGCCCTCTCCTAGGGCTTTCACCTCCTTCCTCGCTCCCACCCACCCCCCAACATGCATCCAAACCTGCACATGGTCCCAGGCATCTCCACACCCTCACCTTCTCTGCCCTGGGACACCTGCCCTCTGAGGATGAGCATACCAGCAGCCTCACGCCTCCTGCCCATCTCTCCACTGGGTGTTGTGATAGCACTGAGGTGTTCTCTGCCCTGTGGGTGCGCAGGCTCTGGGGGCCAGGGCAGCTGGGCCCGGGGTGGGGTGCTGGAGGCAGGCCTTGATAGCAGTGCCCTGAGAACCTGGACCCTGGCTAGGAGAATGCAGGGGCCTGAGCTCAGCCACAACCAGCTGTGAATCCTCTGCCTTCCTCCTTTAGGCCTCAGTTTCCCCATTTCTACATGGAGAGGTGGTCCTGGAGGTCTTTTCAGAGTTGGAAAGCTCCAGGAGTAAAACTCCCTAGTCTCAGCATGTGCACATGAAGCCACAGCGCTCTAGTGGCCGGTGGGAGCCACCGAGGGCCCATCTGAGTCATGGCTGTGGTCCCTTGCCCAAAGGGCTCCACCTAATGTGGACCTGAGCTGCCTCCTCTGGGACGGGTGGGGGGGCACCCTCCAAGAGACCCCTCCTCCCTTCACTCCTGCCCCACCCCCTCTCTCCACACACTCCTGCAGAAGAGGAGAGCTTGGGGAAGGAGACCATCTGGTTTCAAGGCCAGCCGTGTGACCTTGGGCAAGTTACTGCCCCTTGCCCAAGTCACCCGGTTGGTCTTCCTTCATACAGCACGTCAGGAGGGGGCAATTAGGTCTTTCTAGGATTCACTAAAATTGAGGCCCTCATCCCACACCCACCCCAGCCTTCCCTGACCCGTCTTCTACCGTGTGTTGGGGACAGGGGCAAGTGACTGAGGCCGAATTGTTTTAGGTGGTCTAGGATTTCTCTCCGGGGCTCTAGTCCCGCCTTTAAGCAGGTCCCCAGTCTCCCATCTCTCAGGGAACCCCTCGCCGGGAGCCAGGGCACCTCAGAGCCTTGTGCCAGGCCCTGAAGCTCCCGCAGACACCTTAGGAAGAAAGGAAGGAAGCTGGGTCAAAGCCGCAGCTTCCTCTTCCGCTCTGGGGGAGGCTGCGGGCCCCTGGGGGCACCCACTTTCCCTGAGGCTCCTGGCCCTTCGAAGAACCCTGGCGGGCATGCCACAGGGGACGCCTCCTTGTAACTTTCCTGGTCTGCCTGGTCCCCTCCCAGGCCGGAAGTGACGGGTTCTACCCACCTTGGGGCTAAAAGGAGAACCCAAGGACTAGGGTGTTTTGGGTGAGAGGAAGAGGGGCCGGGAGCCCCACATGCAGAGAAACCTTTGTGCCTTTTCCGCGGGCACATATGGTACAGGGAGTATTAATTACCGTAGCTTTTTAATTAACAATCACTTAATCTGAGCCGTAACATTTGCCACGACACCCTGCGCCTCGCCGTGAACCCGCACCGCCCGCCTTGCCAACTCATCAATTAATTTTTATTGACGTTTTCTTCCCCCAAACAGGCACAATACCAGGGTTTTCCAATTAACACCTCCGCGATCTCTAATTAGTGCAATTAACAGACTGATGGATGCCCGGAGTTTACCCGAGAGGGAGGGGGGAAGAAGGGGCGGGGCAGCCCCCAGCGCACACGTGCACACGCCGCAACTGGACAGCTGCCGCACCCCCAGCTCTAACCAGAGCAAGGCCATGGGGGCGTGACCACAGGTAACTCGTACCCGCAGCAATGGTGGTGGTTTGGGTTGAAACAAGTAGTCACAGTTTCCAGCCCTCCACCAACCCACAATCTAGTCGGGGAGAGAGCTGAGAACCTGAGCTTGGAAGTCGGGAAACCTGGCATGTGGCCCCCCGTCTATCACCAACTTGCTGGGGGACTTGGGCCAACCAAGTTCATTACCCCCTTTTCTCCTCTGTATAATGGGGGAAACTAGACTAGATATAGCCATCTATTTACAGTGTATACCCCTGTTGACTTCCAAGAAAGATCAGGAAGCCGACTACAATAAAAGACAGATGAAGCTTCTTAAAATATATCACGGGGTAGTAGGAAGGAAGAACGAAATGGGCCAAAACCTTAAGCCAGACGATCTCAA